AGACCTTTCCTTCCACTGAATAACCCAGAGGGACCTGGAAGCAGAATAAAGCAGCCAGTATCATCTGCCACCATTCCTGTTTTGCCTCTCCACCCTCTCAACAGTTACAAAAATTGGAATAATACCCTGTATCCTATCAGACCACCATGGCTTAAATTAGAATTCAACAACAACACAAATTGCAGAAACTCCACAAACTTATGGAGACTGAACAATGCTCAACTACATTAATCCAGGGTAAAGGAAGAAATAATGAAAAAAATCAAAGAATTCCTAGAATTTAATGAAAATAAGGCACAGAATACCCAAACTTATGGGACACTCAGAAAGCAGTGCTAAGAGGAAACTTCATAGCACTAAGTGCTCACATGAAGAAACTGGAGAATAGCCACACTACAAAATTAACAGAACATCTGAGAGATCTAAAAAAAAGAAGAATAAGGAAACTCACCCAGAAGTAGTAGACACCAGGAAATAACCAAATTGAGAGCCAAAATCAATAAAGTAGAACACAGAAAACAATACAAAGAATCAATGAAACAAAGAGGTGGTTCTTTGAGAAAATCAACAAGATAGACAAACCTTTATCCAACCTAACTAAAAGGCAGATAGAGAACATGCAAATTAACAAAATCAGAAATGAATAGGGACTCATAACAACAGAAACTGGGGAAATACAGAGAATTATCAGGTCATACTTTGAAAACCTATACTCCACAAAATTCGAAAATCTAAAGGAAATGGGCAATTTTCTGGATAGATATCACTTACCAAAATTAAATCAAGAATAGATAAGCAATTTAAACAGACCTATAGCCTGTAATGAAATAGAAGCAGTCATCAAAAGTCTTCCAACCCCAAAAAAGCCCAGGGCCAGATGGTTTCAGTGCAGAATTCTGCCAGAAATTCAAAGAAGATCTAATATCAATATTCTTCAAATTGTTGGACACAATAGAAGCAGAAGGTTCACTGACAAACTCTTTTTTACGAGGCTACAAGTACTTTGGTACCCAAACCACACAAAGCCACAACTAAGATAGAGAACTACAGACCAATCATGAATAATGATGCAAAAATACTCAATAAAAAACTGGCAAATCAAATCCAAGAACACATCAGAAAAATCATACACCATGATCAAGTAGGCTTCATCCCAGGGATGCAGGGATGGTTCAACATAGAAAAATCCATCAATGTAATCTGCCATATAAACAATCTGAAGAAGAAATAAAAGACACACATGATCATCTCCCTAGATACTGAAAAAGCCTTTGACAAAATTCAACACCCCTTCATGATAAAGGTCTTGGAGAGATTAGAAATAACAGAAACATAGCTGATAAACACCTTCAGCAAAAGTGGCAGGATATAATATTAACTCAAAAAAATCAGTAGCTCTACTATATAGAGACAATAAAGGGACTGAGAAAGAAATCTGAGAAATATCACCATTATGATAGCCACAAACAACATAAAATATCCTGGGGTAACTCTAACCGAACAGGTGAAAGTCGTGTATGACAAGAACTTTGAATCATTAAAGAAAGAAATTAAAGAGGATACCAGAAAATGGAAAGGTTTCTCATGCTCTTGGATAGGTAGGATCAATATAGTAAAAATGGCAATCTTATCGAAAGCAATATACAAATTCAATGCAATTCCCATCAAAATTACAGCACAATTCTTCACAGACCTTGAAAGGACAATTCTCACCTTTATATAGAAAAACAGAAGACCCAAGATAGCCAAAACAACCCTGTACATTAAATGAACTTCAGGAGGCATCACCATTCCTGACTTCAAGTTCTACTGCAGAGTAATAGTAATGAAAACAGCTTTGTATTGGCACAAAAATAGACACGTAGACAAAAGAATCTAATTGAAGACTCTGATATTAACCCGCCACACCTATGAACACCTGGTCTTTTGCAAAGAAGCTAAAATTATACAATGGAAAAAAGAAAGCATTTTTAACAAATGGTGCTGGCGTAACTTGATGTGGACATATAGAAGACTGCAGATAGATGCATACCTATCACCATGTACAAAACTTAAGTCCAAATGGATCAAAGACCTCAACATAAATCCAGTCACAATGAACCTCTTAAAAGAGAAAGTGGGAGGTACCCTTGAATGAACTGGCACAGGAGAGTACTTCCTGAACATAACTCCAGTAGCACAGACCCTGGGATTGACAATAAATGGGACCTACTGAAGCTGAGAAGCTTCTGTAAGGCAAAAGACAGAGTCAGCAAGCAAAACAGCAGCCCACAAAATGGGAAAAGACCTTCATCAAACCCACATCCTACAGAGGGCTGATTTCCAAAATATACAAATAACTCAAGAAGCTAGTCACCAAAACACCAAATAATTCAACTAAAACCTGGAGCATAGAACTAAACAGAGACTTTTCAATGGAGGAATCTAAATGGCTGAAAGACACTTAAGAAAATGCTCAAATTCCTTAGCCACCAGGGAAATACAAATCAAAACAACTCTGAGATATCATCTTACACCTGTCAGAATGGCTAAAATGAAAAACACCAACTACAGTTTATTCTGGAGAGGAGGTGGAGAAATAGTAAAGCGTCTCCATTGCTGGTGGGAAAGCAAACTTGTACATCCACTTCGCAATTCAGTATGGTGGTTTTTCTGGAAAATGGGAATCAGTCTAACTCAAGATCAAGCAATAAAATTCCACTCTTATGCATATGCCCAAAGGTTGCACATTCATACAACAATGATATCTGTTCAACTATGTTCACAGCAGCGTTATTTGTAATAGCCAGAACCTGGAAGCAATCTAGATGCCCCTCAACCAATGAATGGATACAGAAAGTGTGATACAATTATACAATGGAGTACTACTCAGAGGACAAAAAAAAAATGGGATCTTGAAATATGTAGGCAAATGGTTGGAACTAGTAGAGACCATCCTAAGTGAGGTCACTCAGTCACAGAAAGACAAACATGGTATGTATTCACTCATATAAGGATTCTAGACATAGTGAAAAGAATTACCAGACTACAATTCACACCTCCAGAGAAACTTGGACATAAGGAGGACCATAAGAGAGACACACATAGTCCCCCAGTGAAGCAGAAAGGTACAAGAGCCTCTGAACAAATATGGAGTATGGGTCGGGGGAAGTAGGGGAAAGAGGAGTAGAAAAGAGGAGGGGGTGGAGAACATGAGGGATCAGGAAGATTGATTGGGGAGAGGAGTAGACGAGAGCAAGAAAAGAGACGCATCAATACAGGGAGCCACTATAGGTTTCAAGAGAAATCTGGCACAATGGAATTATACAGAGATCCAAAAGAATGACCCCAACTAAGACCCTAATCAATAGTGGAGAGGCTACCTGAAATGCCAGTTTCCTATGATGAGAACGATGACTACCTTTAAATGTCACACTAGAGCTTTCATCCAGTGGCTGATGGAAGCAGAAGCAGACACCCACAGCCAAGCACTGAGCCAAACTCCTAGAATCCAGATTCAGAGAGGAGGAACAAATGGGTCAAGACCACACTGGAAAACCCCACAGAAACAGCTGACCTGAGCAAGTGGGAGCTCATGGACCCCCATCTGACAGCTGGGGAACCAACACAGGACCAAACCAGGCCCCCTGTTAGGAGCTCTGAGCAGTCTATGGGGCCTCTGACAGTGGAACCAGAATGTATCCCTAGTGCATGAGGGGACTTCAGGATCCCATTTCTCATGGAGGGATACTTTCTTAGCCTAGCTAGATACACAGGGGAGGTCCTAGGCCTTGCCCCATATGACTTGACAGATTTTTAATGATCCCTCCCTGGGGAGTGGATGGGGGGTCTCTGGGGGGTATGGGAGCATGGAAGTTATATATATATATATATATTCCTGCTCCTCCACATTTTCCTCAGAATTTTGCAAAATAAGCGCTCTGGATTGGGTGCAGTATAATAATGTAATAATAGTATAATAATAATAGCATAATAATATAATAATAGGTCTGTAATAGTATCTCTTTATTTTAATTTTACTTCCCCAATGGCATTACACAAGGAATATTTATCTCCTCATTTTCTATCTTTATTTCTTGTGGGGAAAGTTATCTATTACAGTGTTTGGCCCATTTGTAACCAAGCTGTATGTTTTCTTGCTGTTAAAATGTAAGAGCCCTCTGCACATTTCAGGTAACAGTCTTTTATGTGAATTCTTTTGCAAACATTTCCCCTCATCTGTGACTTGTGTTTTTATTAACTTGATATTTTGCAGAACAGAAATTTTGAATGAAATATGACAAAGGAGGGAAAATACATAGAGGAACCTTAGAAACTCTTGAACAAATGGAGCTAAAACAGCAGGGAATCCTCAAATTAAGGAAGGAATTCTAAAACAGCCAATATTCCATCATGAAAATCATCTCATAGTGTGTCTGTCATATACATACCATAAAATGCAATGCTAAAAAGCATAGAAGAAAATCAAGATGACTTTGAAACCATCAGTGATGATTTATTTCCAATACTAAAAGCTTTCTATAGGAGAGGAAGAATTGTTAACTTAGATATTATTAAAATCTGTATACTTTTTCTCTAGATTTTTGTTGAACAGTATCATCTATATTCATAATTTCAACTCTCACTTTTATATTTGACATAGAAACATGTCTTCAATACAGATTTCCCCCCTAATAATAGATCTATTCTTCTTAGCATTCATGCATATTTATACTTAGTAGCTGTGTAGTTTTCCCAAGAACAGTTTGTACACAGCCAAAGTGTTTGTCTTCCTTTTTTAAAAATGATCTTTAGGAGCCAGCAAGATGGCTCAGTAGGTCAGAATACTTGCTGTGAAAATCCAATATTTTGGATAAGATCCTGGAAACCCATGTAAAGGTAGAAGGAGAGTACTGACTTCACAAAGTTGTATTCTATCATCTCCATGCACAGACACTTCGTAATACACATGTACAATAGCAGTAAATAAAATCTATATCTGAAAAAGCATGATATTTCTTTCCACTCAAACTGCCTTTCCTTTTCCTCTCTCCCAAAAGAAGAGAAGAAAAACCAACAATGGCAAAGGGCTGCAGAAATGCAAGACCAAGAACCAGCTTCACACTCAGCAGGGAATGCTACCTTTCACCACTGTGTTCTCTGGTATTCTACACAGTCACAGAAACTTCTCTGCTAATGATCCATATCTGAGCCCTACAAGTATAGTCTTTACATGATCTCTATGTTTGTTCCTTATGCTGATGACTTTTTAAAACTGCCACTCATTCCATGCTTAGGTCAGAAACTGACATGCCATTCAAGGCATTTTTCTTCTATCTTAATCACTAATTAAGTGCCATTTGTATTATTATCACCTCATCTTTAACTTTTCAAGAATTCAGTTCTTTCCATATTCATCAATAATTAGTCTCTCCCTGATCTTCTTTAAAAAAAAAAAAAAACTACAAGAGTTGTATTAGTTTTCTCCTCTGTCCTCAGCGTGACACACCTCAAATGTGCATCTGACCATGCTACTTATATTCTTCTTCACTTGTTTGTTTCCAAGGCAGAAATGATGACACAAATCACTTAAGACAAGTATCAGTTTACCAGCATAGTATTTGTATGTTAGGCACCTTCCAAATTTCCCGGCATTATCCCCTACTTGTCTTCTCCTTACCTTGATCTCTATTGGCACACACCCTTCCATTTCTAAAACTTTTCATGGTGGGTCACAAATCAGTATTATATTGGTATGTTTCTTTTCTTCTCTTTCTTTTTATTTTCTGGGAATATTTTCTCTGGCCTTGAGCATCTTTCTGATTGTTAGATTGGGAATGGACCACCATGACAAGAGCACAACTCCAAACTTAACAGAAGCAAATTGTCTTAATTAGAACAATGAAAGGCAACATTCTCTGTGGGAATGATGGTTGAACTCTCAGGGGTCTTTGGGATAGGCTTGCATCAGGGAGTTGAGGGTATAGAAGTTGCTGGTATTGAAAATAGGAAATTGTTGGGTTTTCTGAGACTGTATAAGGGGGGAGTTCCAGGTAGGCTCTAAGCAAGTAGACTGTCCTTGACCAGGGTTGGGGTAACAGGGTGAAAAATCTCTGGGTCAAACCAAATTTAGAGCAACACTGATCACTTTCCAATTGTTGAATTGCACCATTTGCCTCTCTCTCCCATGTTCCCTATTATCTTGGCAATTATTAGTTGACACCAGTTCAGGCAATTTTCTTGAACAAATGGTGTTCAATGGAGTTTTAGAAAAGTTGCAGAGAGTGGTGTGTGGTTCATTACTGTTACCCCAAGGTAACATAATTATGCAGCATATCCTGCCTCAAAGCCAAGGACATTGAGACTCTTCTAAACCCAGGCAGGAAGGCATCCCAACATCCTTAATTTGGAAGCTGAAGCAATGATGGAGGGGGCCAGCAGACAAAGATCTTCCATTATCATTTTTATTGCTGCTCATGACCTTCCCTGAAGCTAAAAATTAGACATATTTATCTTACTGAAATTTTAAAAGAATGCTTAGGTGAAATATGCAATTCTATAATGAATGGGAAAGTAATCATTGAAAACTACTTAATCACTAAACTTCCTTTGGTCACTCTATATTTACATGTTTTTTTAAAATCAATTGGCTTAAATACATGCCACTTTTCGGGAATATTTTTCTATAAAACTGACCAATGGCTATTCCCTTTTGAAATCTCTGCCTAGAACATGAAGTTAAAAGTTAATCACAAACCGGAAGGTTATGGTTTTTCATGGTCACAGCACAAAAGCACATCACAAATACATATAAAACTCTTAACTCTGGCCTAGAAATGAATTATCTAAAATTCACTTTATGCTGAGAGGATAAAGGTAATAATATTTGGGTTTTCCAGGCCAGGGAATGACAAAATGACAAAATGTCTGGAATACATGAATATTCTCAAGGCCAGAACAGCATTTGCTTCAGACTCAGATAAAAGCTCTGAGATTTGAAGCCTTTGTAGCAAGACGGATTCATTAAAAATTCAAGTGGCTTCAGAAGTCTCAAATTTGGAGCTTTGTAGAAGACTTGAAACTAAAAATTAATGCCTTGTATAGGCTTAAATTTTATGCCTAACTTATAGTACATCTTTGGAGCACTTTATTCCCAAGTACATATTTTTAGAAGATTCTGTAACATCTCCTCCTGTTAGCCTTAGATAAATTACACTATGTAGATTTGGACTACTTGAGCTTCAGTTGGGTTCTATAACTTAGTGACTACTAAACACGTACTACCCTCCAATGACATCCATCACCTAATCTCTAAATTGGGGGTCACATATGTCATAGCTTCAAAGAGTCACCAAAAAGTTTCTTTTTTTATATTAAAGACATATATATATATATATATATATATATATATAATTATCACAAGTTTTCCTCAGATTTCCAAATTATGGACTTTATGATCCAAACATTATATATGAGTAAGGGGTGATTAAATAGACCTCCTGACTCAGATAATACTAGTTTGGTTTTGTCTGGAGAAATTTAAATAGTAAATTAGGTTTGTATTCTATCATTTGAAATGGTGTATGGTCCCTGAAATAATAAAACATGAAGCCCCTGCTCACTATTGATTACTTTTTGGCTTACATTTTGAATTATTGCAGTTTATTTCTTTATCTTTTTATCATTTATACAAGCTTATTTACTATCATATTACAGGCATGGTATGAATAAGCTTAATCCCTGCAAATAGCTCATATTTTCTTGGCCAAATTACAAGTAGTAAAAAACTGAAATGAATGTGATGGGTCATGGGACATCTGTGAGCAGTACAGAGGTGAGATGGTTTCCTCTGACTCTGTGGGTAGTCAGGGTTTAGGAGTGACTCTGCAGTGGAGGTTATCTTTTAAGTAAGTAGCAGATGAAATAAGTCGTGTAAAGCAGCAATGGGAGGGGTCTGGAATGGTAGCTGTAAGGAAGTACTGTCAAGACAGGAATATGTGTGCTTGAGAGACAGACAAGTATGTAACAGTAGATAAAACAGAGAGTGTAGTTTGTGTTAGCAAAAGTTGTGCTCATCCGTAGCCTTCTCTTCCCTGTTCCAGGGAGAGGAGGGAAGCACACATTCATTATGGTTGGAGCAGAGAAAGTAAACCTGGCTTAAAAAAGAAAGAGGAGGCAATTACGTATCTTGGAGTGCTGTTTGTTTCAGGCTGATAAGGTTGCAGGGAGCTACTGCGGAGGTTTAAGCAGGTCATGGCTTGCTTTAGAAGCACTGAAATCTGCTGGTGACACCAAGTGTGGTTGACTTGCACAAATCCTGGAGATTGGTGCAATGAGATGGAAATGTGAAGATAAAAAAGAGTCAGTGAAGAACTTCAGAGAATCATGGGAAGTGAGCATTGTATCCATTTTTAAGAATCTTTACATTTCCAACAAAAATAAAATCCAAACTCCTTATGATATTTAGAAAGTGTCTTCAAAAGCTGTCTTAATGTAAATGTGAAGATATGGAAAGGAAAGACTAGCCAAGAATCAACTTGCTGTGGACACTCTCAGCACAACTCTGTAATTGTGTGGACTTGCACAAACAATGTGATTTCCTTGTGGCTTGTTTCTCTAAGTCACCAAGCAGGACAAAAAATTGTAAGAGAATGTAAGTGAGAATTATGACAGTCCACTTAAACAGTTCACACAGTCCCATCAAGAAAAGAACTCCGTAAATGCCAGCTAGTGCCCTCATACCACGACACTCTTGACATTCACTGTGCTTCAACCCTACTGGCCTTTTGACATGAACCCTCTAGTGTTTTAGGATTTAAACTTTTTGCCCTCTAGTCTGGAATATTCTTTTTTCCAATTTCCCTATTTCTCTAGTATCTTTCCACTTATAACCTGAAAAGTATCTCCTTTGATATCTTTGAACGCAAAATTTATACTCTAACATTATTCACCACAGTCACATATTTATAGTACTCATAATTCTGAGCGGAAACTCTGTTCCTTTGCTTGTTTAATGTGTGTCTCCTTCACAGACTACAAGCCCCGCTGCACTCACTGTTCTCTTACATAGTTTTATACCCATTGATTCCCCACCCACCTCCAGATTATTTCAACCAGTAAATGTTATAACAAAAAAGAAACATTTGGTGAGGGAATCATTGGGAGCCAGTGGAATGAGTGATGAGTGAGAAATTATTAAACATGACAAGTAGGAGGGGGGAGGAGCCACTCTAATGATGGAAGGAGATGAGCATGTCAGGTGGAGAAATATTTACAGATAGAAATATTTGCACTCCACTGTTGCATCTCAGAAGTGGGGTTAGAATTCACAATTAGAACTTGAAAAATGGACGCATTCAGCTGGAAATGGTTCATGTAATGAACAAAGACAGGTGCTTGGTAGGGAATGACTGTTCGTTCAAATGCAGGTGAAGGAACACTGAAAGGGAGAAAGAGTAACAGGGGAGCTGGGAAAATAACCAAGCAAACAAAACAGGTGTGAGTGTTATTATGGAGGCCACTGGAGAAGCAATTTCAGTCCTTAAATGCAGTTTGGGTATACCAGGGTTTCAGCTCTTTGTAAACAGTTTAGAGACTCTTGAGTTCTTCAAACAGCCTCAGTGTTTTTCTTTGGTGCTATGATGTTATCCTTTCCTCTAACAGACAGATCGCTCTGGGTGGGAAGCCTTGGGTCCCAAGGATTCATGAGAGGTTTTTTGTGGTTGTTGTTTGGTTGGTTTTTTTGTTGTTGTTGTTAGATTTTGTTTCTCTTTGTTTTTGTTTTCATTGTCAATATCAAGAAAGTTTAGGTTACATAGTCTAAAATCTACATTGTAACACTAACATCTCTTTGATTGTGAGTCTAGTAGAAATGTCTTCAGGTCTCACAACTAAAAATACTAGCATTGCCTTTATCCAGAGCCAAGTTCCGCGGGTGACTTTGAAAGTTAACTTTTATTGCTGGGGGGGTGTGTGTGTGTGTGTGTGTGTGTGTGTGTGTGTATGTATGTGTGTGTGTGTGTACCCACACACATGCATGTATGTCTCTACCACTGAGAGTTGAATTTAGTTCCTCCTATGTGCTATGTAAGCAATTTAACCCTGAGATATATATCCCCAGTACTCATTAGTGTTTAATTTTGGGGCAGGGTTTCCTAACTTACTCAGGCTGGACTTAAACTCACTCAGTAACCTGACAGGCCTTGACCTTGAAAATTTCCTGCCCCAGTC